ACGGGTTCTCGTTTTCGAATGTAAGAACATTAAAACTTTGGATTTTTGTGGACTTTCGAGCAAACATTTCGGTTCGGTTCTTACCTCCTTAGCAGAATATATGGGTCGTTTAAGATTTGTTCAAGATTATGAGGATGATGATGAAAAGGCCGACTTACTCATTCCAAAGTGTAAAAAATGTAGCATTACCAGACCTTCAACGTCTTTCTTTACATAATTGTTCAATCATCTCGGAATTTTTCACTATACTTACCCTACTTGCACACGCACCAAATATCACTCACCTTGATTTGGGTGGTTGTTCCGTTAGTGAGATAACACTTAATGTCATTGCAACTCAAACCAACGTTACAAAAACTTAACCCATTTATTACTCGCCAGATGTAAACATATTTCTTCTGAGGCTATCACATCTTTGATAATTCGATGTGAAAATTTGAGAGTTTTTAACATTTACGATATTGCCACCGCTATTAGCGAATATGATCTTATTACCATTTTAAGATCTCAAACTGCCAAAAGATTTCAATCTTTGGATCTTGGTTTGTCTTATGTCAAATCACATGTTTTACATGCCATACAGGTAAATTGCACCTCAGCTTTACAACACCTTAGAATTAAATTCTGTTAACCATTCAATTAAATGAATTTCTAATGTTGATGCCAAGCATTCAGTACATTGATCTTACTGGTGTGAAATGTTTGACACCAATAAGCATTAGAGGCCTTTTAGATAATTTACAAAAGAATCATTCACTTCATACCGTTGAAATGAGCAAATCTTTACTCAAAAACCTTTGTGTCATCAAAGGATGGAAGATCAATGACAACTTTAGTATAAGGTATTGTTACACAAAACTATCCCATGGAGAAGGAAGAGTCCATTTGAGAAAATTGGATGTGGCTGAATCCGGTTTGGAAAGAATGAGCAAAATTTTCAAATATTATAGTTTTGACGTTTGAATACAAAATCTTAATAATAATTAAATTCGTGGAAGTAGGCCGTGGAAAACCCAAAATTTCCTCACTTCAATTAATTTTATTTCATTAAAACTCAAGAAAAAGAAAAAATATTTGTAATAGGCGCACCATATTGTCTATAATTAAATATTTAGCAAAAAAAAAATATATGACGCAGAAAATTATTTTAATTTAAGTTGTATATTTGGATTTAAAGTGTATAATTTATTCTTTTGCTCTCTCATTTTTTTTTAAACCTGAACCTTTTAAATTTATTATTCTTAATTTTGTATTTTATTAAATAGTAAATTATATTATTAAAATATAAAAATTATGGTGTAAAAAATAACATATGATGTAAACGTTGGCATTTACGTATAATGGATCAAACATGCTGAAATTTGCCGGCCATGATATGACATTTTGAATTGTTGTTCAAAGATACTGACCATGTTAAGAGCGAAAAATTAAAATGCTGCGGCGGATGAGTGTTTTTTTAAATTTTTAATATATTTTTAAAATTTATTTTGCTATAATGTAATTGCATATCTAACTGCATGTCACGAAAAATACATGCAAATGCTTAGATTTCCTGCCTGCATAACTACCTACTAAATTAACTTCTCATTTAATGAATAATTTACCAATATCCTCCTATGATTCCATAATTTTAATAATCTCATACAATTTAAATACCATTTTTCAAAAAGAATAATTACATTTATTTAAATTTTATTTTATTTTTTTTATACGCGGAACTTTACTGATTGCCCTGACCCTTTTCAAAAAAAAAAAAAAAGATTTGTATTTTAGGTTGTACAGAACTTACTGTGATACTTGAAATTTATTTTTTTTCGGGCGTTGATCTTTTTAAATAAAGATTTCTTAGATTTCTTAGATATAAAAAAATGATAAATTAACGGGTGGGAGATTTTGATTTGAAAAAGCATTCCCGCTTAATCATAAGATTATGTGAGATTTCTTTGGCGATTAATAACCGACCATCAAAAGTTTCAATAAAACAGCTACATCGACCTAAAGAAACTTCGAGCTTTTTTCAGAGTTAAATTAAAAATTTTCAGTTTAAGGGACATAATTGATTACAAGAGTACCTACCTGCTGAAAGGATTCCATGTCGTTCCTCTTAACAGGGAAAATTGAGCAGCTCCTTCAGTTAAGATCAAACCTAAATACGCTCAAGGGTAAATCGCTTACCTTTGGGTCTCTAATTTATTTTATTTTTTTAAAATTTATTCGTGACGAATTGTATTACGTTATTTTGATTTCGGTTCGGTCGATGTCTTACAATTGTATTAATAGACTTTGAACCAACGAGATTAGAGTTTCACATACGCCCAACCTCATTCCATGAAAAAAATGCATAGGTCTTTCCGAATTGGTGATATGAATTTCAAAAAAAAAGGGATCAAACGGTCATGACTTCAAATACCTTTATGACCTAAATTAAAATGCATGAGAATTTTATTGTGATTCATCTCATTCAAAAAAAAAAATTCATTCTAACAATTCTTACATTCTGTTATAAGGAGTAAGAAAAAAAATTTGCATTTTCTTTTCAAAAGTTCTACTTTTTAGGTTAATTTTAATGATATTTTTGGCATTTCAATCAATGTCTCCTGTAAACAAACGTCGAGTTTGCAGTTTTCTTTATTTTACAATAAGAGTCGAGACAGTTTTCACTATACTAAAAAAGATGAACCACCAATGTAATTTTGTAACACATTTAATAGAATTGTTTCCTGATAATCCGGTTTATGATTACTTTGCGAATCTCTCTTTTAATATTATTATTATGTTTGCGTTTTATATATTTTATCACGTTTTTGTCGGAAAATTTATTATTGGCTAGAAAGGAACATCTTTCAGCCTTAACTGATTTTTCATTTTGTTTGCGTTCATTTAGAATGTGAGTATATATTTTTTTTATCAGTTCATCGTGCATATTTTTTTATTTATTAACGTTCACTCGTATCTATGAAAATCACACCATAAATGAAGTGCATGTCTCTTGAGAATTTGAATAGTAAAATAAAATAATAATAATAAATAATAAAGCCAATTTGCTGTATATGTTAAAGTATATATACTCTACAATTATTAATAAAAAAATATCTGAAACATGCCGAGCTTACTAAATATGGAGATGATCGAATCTGGCACCTTTATTCATCCTTTTTTTTTTATTTAAGGTAAACCAAAAAAAATCTAGAAACATCGTAATGAAAGGAATATTGCAACAAAAGCAAAATACTTTTTTTTTTTTTTTTAATTTTCAACCATATTTCAAATTATTCAAAGACCTGATATTATTAATGCAGAATGCTCATAATTTTATTTTTTTTTTAAAAAAAAAAAAAAATAACAAAAGCCAAAGAAAAATATGTATCACCTCATGATACAAAGAAACTTTCAAAGGGGAGTGAACTTAAACAAACTGTCTTGAAATTAAATAACGGGGGCTTATTTATTTTTTAATAAAATACAAAAAGAAAATTCTTGCGTCTAAACCGTATTCGAAAAACCAATGAAAATTTTCCATGGTCGGCTTGAAATGTGATCTTTTTTTTCAAAAAACAATGAATAAAAAAATACACAAGATAACAGGAAACTTCTTTTAAATGGATGCACAAGAAGATAAACCTGAATCATTTTAAAACCGGGCTTGAATTTCCGTTATTTTGATAAAATATAAACTGATAAAGTTTACATGTAAAAAGGAAATAAGGCTTGCAAATCATAGAGTTACTCGTAAAAAGAAATATCTAAAGTTAACCAAAAAAAGGAGAACTTGAAAGAGTATGCAATTTTTTTTTTTTTTTTTTTTTAGTAGAACCCTTTATAAGGAAGTTAGTTGCCCGACCTGTCACTGAGCTTGTACTTGAATAATGTACTACCAAAAAAAAAAAGTACTCAATAGTTGGATTCGTTAGTTTAACCGCCATGTTCAAACAGTTTACGATAAAATTCATATCGTCCGAACCCGATTGATTTTATATATAAATGATCGAAATTCGAAACTTCTTTATTTCATATATTTTCATAACTTACTGAATATAAAACATTATAATTTATATCTTTATCAATTTCAAAATATTTAAAACATAAAAATGTCTAACCTTACATCTACAAAAAATATTAATATTTTATTCCTCGATGCCTCGATTAAAGTCAATATCTTTAAATATATCTATTCTCCGTTAAACTTGGCTTTAAGCTGCAAAGCATGGTTAAACATTGCAAATGATCCACATCGATTTTGACCATACGATATGGTAAAACAATAAAGAAATTGCGTGACGTAAAGTAATCATATTTTATGTTACGCAAATTGCCCAAAGTGCTTTTTTACTGCGTGTACAAAAAAAATAGACTATAAAAATTTACTTCGTGTTCATCAAAATTGCAACTTTCAATTTTGAAGCTTTGCTTTATATACAACCATATTCTTCACTCAAATAAAAATGACCGTAAGTAAAATTCAATTTAAATTTTACTTGATATCTCAATAAATATTAAACGATCATTTTTGAAAATTGAATGTTAGATATTTCAAAATCGGGCTTACTAAGGACGAAATAAAGAAAAATTTGGATTTTAATTTTGATCTCACTATAAAAATTTGATTTAGTAATGCATTTTAACTTTTTGGTTTGGAAATAAGAAAAGAAAATTGGAATTTAATTATTAGTTTAATTAGGTTTTTTTTTTACTTTATTCATATGATAATAATTTTTGAAAAAATAAAATTTCTTTAACAAATTCGTCACCGTAATAAAATAAATTAAAAATTTTTTTTTTTTCACTTTATTAAAAAAAGTTATTTTAAATTTGTATCTTTTTATCGTTATTAACATTTTAAAATAATTCTATTAAATAATTATTAAAGGAGTAATTGCTACGACTATTTCCTTGAAACACATTAAGGCTAAGTCGGATCCAATTCCATATGTGTTTAAGATGAACTCGTATATTTTGGATGAGAAGATAAGGGATTTCCTTCTTGTCCTAAATTCTAAATCATCTACATTTTCGTTTTTAAAACGCTGTTCAACAATTTGCTTTACGATTAATTCATGCTGCTCAGATCGTGACTTTAGAAAATTTAAGATAATTAATTTTTTATGACACCTCATGGGCTCAAAAGCCTCCTGAAAGAGCCCGAAAACAAAAGAAAATGTAGTGTCTTCGGTTCTAATTGTAGTAAATGCATTCCAAATTATTTCTCCAATGTCGTCTAATCTATGTTCAAACACTTGAATGATGTTATCACATTAATCACGTGATTATTAAGGTAAATCACCTCCCACAGAAAGAAAACCAATGAATAAAATTTTTTTTTGAATCTTCGATGAAAAAATAACTGATGAAGCTAAGTCTATGCACTCCGTTAAAGCTACTTTTTATTTATTTCATCACTCTTTATATTCGAATAAAATTCGAGGTTTTCTTTTGATCGAAACTGTCGGGGACGGTTAGAAGTTTATTCATTAATTTATTTATTTATTTTTTTTTTTATAAAATTTTGATATCCAAATTAATAAATAAGCATTGTAATCACATAGAAGACTATATCTAAGAAATCGCTCGATATTATAGATCTTCCAAAAAATTCGTATTCTCAATTTTAATCAGCGGTCATATTTATTGACCTTAAATTCAACATAAGTCCGGATTTGGAGTTAAGGTGTTGTACCATTCCGACATCAATCCCTCCTAATACAATGTACCATGATGCTTTCTAATGGTAATTGTGGTTATTTTAGTTAATAGATTCTTTATTTATATTTAAGGAAAATAATTATCCTTAAAGTAGATGGTTGTTGATTCACCTCTAACCCCTTTGCAAATTTTAATAAATTTTTGAGTTTGTTTTACTCAATTTTTTGTTTTAGAAATCAAAGGTAATGTTGATGAAGATATAAAAAGGAAATTTTTGATCCATTGCAGTGAAAGCGTTCCAAAAGAAATTCCATTTCATCAAA